TTTACCAGAATAATTATTTTATGGAATCGCGTTATAGTCAAATTGAATTTTTGAATAAAATTTTTGAAATGACACATATTTGAAACTAATATAATGTAATTTATTATCAGTTATGTGCAACACTCAGGTTGAGAACTAACTTTACATAGACATTTTTATGTAATTTTGCATAATTTATATTTTATATAATATTTTCAATAAATTAATATAAGTACATTGTATTCAAAATTGACTCCATGCTTTAATTTATAAATATTATTTATTGACAATTTTCAATTATAAATATTAATTAATATATTTTGTCAGTGTATCGCACGAGATTCGTATTAATTTCTTAAGAAAAATATTGAATATTTGATTCAAAGGTTGGAAAAAAAAAAAGGAAAATATATAGACATTAAATGCAGAAAATGTAAACAGATTAACAAAGAAAAAAATAATAATTATTGCTATTTGTTATGATTTTAGAAATCTATCGCTACTTAATGCCTAACCTATATATGGTTTTCAGATATTATTATCAAATTATGGATTTTCTCAAATTGGAGTCTCCTCAAAATTGGATTACGAATTATGAGGATTTCGGGTTATGAAGTTAATTTGCGAGTGATAATATGATTTTATTTTGTAAGTCTAAACAACCTTACGAAAAATCCAATTTTGAGAAATTAAATAATTTGATTTCTTATTACATGATTTTTTTTTTAAAAAAAAAAATAAATTGAATAATATACCATCTAACTACATTTACATACCCGATTTTTAGCAAAAATTCTGATGATCATATTTGGTTATATCAAAACTCTACGATTTTGAGAACCTCGATCTGCCGATCTAGTAAAAATTCTGATAATCAAATTCAGTTATATCAAATGTCTGGATTTGAAACAAATTATACATTAATATTTTTGTCTAATTAAATGATTCGAGATAATAATAAACAAAATACTTGATTTTTTTTTTAAAAAAAGTTGTAATTTGTAAATATTATATATGCAGAGATGCAATAAGTTAATATAATTTAATGTGATTAAATGTTTTTAGACAATCAAATATCAAGATGATTCTAATTTGATTGCCAAAATAAGCAATTTTATTTCCACAAATTAATTAGGCCATTTATTGTAAAAGTTGTGAATTTAAAGGCTCTCAATGAAAAATTGTGTATATAATAAGGTAGTTATTACAACAGAAAAATATTATACTATTGTCTTTCTTTTCTGCACAGGCTCAGATAAATATTATACTATTGTCTACTCATTTACAAGTGCAGTGGTCAGAGTCCAAAAAATTTATCAGCTTCTTCCCTCTTACTGAGGTAACCATTTTTTTTTTTTTTTTTTCAAAATATCTTACTATTAAGTTGATGATATCTGAAAAGTGAGAATATTTACGACATACAAAAATTCTATGGAGCAATCGAATGATTTTGTTATAGAGTTATCGATCATTTGATATATTGACAAATGTTCAACGTGTATCAATTGTAAGACACGTGTCAATATACATAAATAAACCACTATTCAAAATAATAATCAAATGAACCACTATTCAAAATAAATAAATAAATAAAGAACTGAACAATCCTTTGTAATTCACAAAAACTGATTTCTTGTACCACGTTTCTCATAATTATTAAATACTAGTACAACACCCGTGTATTACACGGGTGCTTGTTAAAAAATTATTCTTAAATTTTAAAATTAATGAGAAAACTATATTAAATTTAGTTTACTTTTTTACAAAAAAAATATATTACCATTTATTTTAGAATGATATGTTACTTATGACTTACATGTGTTATGTTATATTAGTTTTTATAACTTATATCATATAACTACTTGAAATATAAATATATTAGTTGATAATTAATTTTATTTTTCTAATTAATATTAAAAATAATTTTATTATTGTTATAAAGATAAATATAAATTATTTCTTTTATACATACAATATGAATGTTAAATCGAAACTCATCAAAAGAAGATTAATTGATATATTACATATGTAAAACTGATAAAAAATACAAAAGTTATTAACTTTTAAAATATATATACAATTCAATAGTTATAATAAGGAATGATATTAAAATATAATTAATATATGTAACATGACCATAAATAATCAACATATTTATGGTAATCCGAACCTAATTATTTTTTGTTTGGAATTAAATTAAAATTTACCCAAGCCTAATAACGAAGCATGTAATCTTGCACATAGGATTTCGAAGCACCAGAAGCAGCCACGTAGGCTCAGCGCGTTCTGTATTAATATATAGGGGAGGGGATAGTAAATACAGTTCAAGACTTTCTTTTCACATTTGACTTTCTTTTATTTATTTTTTTTAATCTCTTTTTAGCCCCTGCATGTGAACAATTATTTCTCCCCACCCCTCCAACTTTCCGTTATTTCCACAAGAATAATGTAATTTATAATTTACACGGCCCGTTTTAGAGAAAAACGAGAGATTTTGATTCATGCATTTGACTCTGTATCCAAAATCTCTCGATACACACTCTAAAGAACAAAGACCGAGAATCGAATCACATGGTAGAATATCGTGAGCACATTAAATAAAACTATAATATATAAAATAAATGATGTGAAATTTCTAATAAAAATTTAAGAAAAATGGAAAAAAAAAATAAAAATAAAATCACTAAGCTAATATTTAATGGGTATAAACAAATTGACCGAGTTTGAGCCCATAATACTCGAACTCGAACTCGATTTCTTTACTAAACGAGTTGATAAGCTAATTCGATGCCAATTCGTTTATTTATATTAAGAGGTCAATTCATACAAGTTCATATTTACCACAACCTCAACTAGTTAACAAGACGAGATTTAAATGAGCTCAATATATGCTCGTTTATAAAATAAATCGAGCGAAACTCGAGTCGAGCAAAAAATTGAACTTACGAGTAACTCCTTTCGTTTTACAACAATTAGGTACTCCAACTTTCTAATCACTCAAATATTTAACTAACTGAGATTTACATGAGCTCAAACTCTGCTCGTTTATCAAATAAATTGAGCAATACTCGAGACTTAACGTTGAGCTCACGAGCAACTCGTTTCGTCTAACAATTATAGGTAGGTCTAAACGGCTAGGTTGTCCTAATTTTTAATAAGTACACATATTTTTTGAGAATGATACGGTCCCATTAGGGAATCATTTCGTCAGGGTCGATAGATCAACTATTCTCGACAATTACATGATGATCCAACGATTACAAACCACGATAGAATAATTCTGTAACGGAACTGTAGCATCTCCCCATATTTTTAAACTAAAATGTCATTGTTTATAAAATAATATAAATAAAAACACAACATTTCCTAGGTAAATGATGGTTAAACCGATTCACACAACAATTAGTAAAATGATTAAATCATACACGCCAAAAGGGAGCCGTAATTAATACACCATCCCCACCATATCCTTCTTTATAGTTTATAGTATACTTTATTTTATATATATATATACATTACATTAGACCACTTTTATTAGAATCAGAAAAATCCCATTTTTTGGTGTTTGTTCACTCACACTCTCCTCTGTAATTAAACTCTCTCTGCAAAAACACTATTAAAAGGACTGTTTTTCTCTTCCCAGCAGAAAGTTTGCTGCTTTTGAGGGCCTCATCGCCGCCTTCACAAATATTTATTGAAGGCTACACAAATTTAGTGTACCTTTTTATTTTCTATCTGGGCTGCATTTATTTATTTAAAGCTCTTTGCTTTTGTTCAATGATGAAATCCCAAGCGTGTTAAGAAAAATTTAATCTTTTCAATTCAAAAAGAAGAGGCTTTGGGGTTTCTTGAAAGGGACTAATCAAAACAGTAAGGTATTTTCAGATTGTGAAAGTTTTGCATTTTTTTTTTTTTTTTTTTA